TTATGTGCCCTCTAGAAGCTTGCGTTCTGCAAGGGAACGTCGCTTTATTGTTCCATCTCAAAGAAGCACAAAATCACTTTTACGGACTTTTAAATTAAATGTTCCCTCCTGGTGGAATGACCTGCCCAACTCAATCCGAGCAGCTGAGTCACTAGCCATCTTCAAGAATCGGCTAAAAACACATCTCTTCCACCTTTATTTGACCCTCTAACTCTAGCACTCTCTATTCTAATTCTATTCTTTAAAAAAAAACACTTGTCCCCTTTAGACTTGCACTCTATTAATTTGCTGAAACAAAACAAAAAAAACTAACACTTGCTTTCTAATCTTTTTGTATTCTATCTGTTTTCTTTTCATTTATTATACAATTAACAAAAGCAAAAAGACCTCTAACACTAGCTTACTCTATTCTTTTTCTATCCTATCTGTTTTTTTTTTATGATATTATTTAAAAAAAACCTTGCTATGTGTACTGCGTTAAGCTAACTGAGACTTGTTATAGCACTTGTATATCATTGCTCTTTATAACAAATGTATTAATTTCTTCAATTTATTTATGGAAAAACAGCGATAAAGCCTCATATGATTATTGAACTTTAAAAAGGCGACGATTTAATGTAAATAGCACAGATGAGAAGGCGGAACGAGTGAAGGAGACGCGCTGAATGAAAGCACACATTCGGCACTAGAGGGCGCTGACGGAGACAGAAATGCAGCCGTTACCCCGGCAACCCTGTAAACAAAGCAGCTGCGCTACTTTCCGTTTCAAACAGTTATTTAGACATTTATATTCGCTTTAGTCTTCACCATAGCACAAAATAATTAATACTTAAAGACTTAAGCTATTTATTTCGTTTTAATCTAACCTAAAACATGGCCTACCTATATATCGACTGATTCGATATATTGAACCTGCTTTAAAGCTGCAGTCCGTAAGTTTTGCCTCTTTGTCGCCATCTCTGTTTGAAAACCTGGAATTGCAGCTGTGTGCGGAATTATCTAGCTTGCGTGGGTTGTGCGGCGGCACGGCTCCAGCACGGATGAATTTAATGTTTTGAGGAGTATGTGTGTGTGTGGCAGTTATAAGCTAACCGTTGTGAATCAGGCAAAAAGTAAGGTGATAGTTTTGAACACTGGCTGGTTATTTACTTGATCAAATATTGATTTCGGATCATTTTTAACCAAAAAAAGATACGGACTGCAGCTTTAACTAAAGTTAACTAATTAGACTTTTTGTAGAGCTACCTATACGTAAAAATAAAATAAAATAAAAAAGATCTTTAATAAAGTTATTTAACCTGTTAGGAGGACACCAGTTTTTTTTTTACTTACTAAATTATATATTGTGATAAAACCATACCGTGATAAAAGCTTCAACGACTATTGTGAAAATTTGATACCGTCATATACCTAATGTACAATTTAATAGGACTATAAATAATTACATAATTAGCCATTAAATAGAGTCTGAAGCAAAATTATTTAAAAACCTTGTGTACTTTCTGTATTCTGATCAATTAAATAATTGCGTTTGTAAATGTCTCCTTATATCCCCTTATTAAGCTAAAACACATCATTTGAAAAATTTGCATTGCGCCCCTAAATTTTTCAACTTAGGAGCACATGTGCTCCTTGGAAAAAAGGTAAGCGTCAAGCCCTGCGCTGAACTCATTCAAAGCAAGGGCCTCTACACTTGCTACTAATTTTTGACAGCTGTAGCCCTCTAAAATTTCCGTTGTAATTGTCTTTCATGCTACAGTGATTACTGTTCTCTAATTTCAATCGTGTTTTCCACAAAATAAATGTTTTTGTCGAAATGCATTTTGTCAAACATGTTAGTAGAACAGTGGTATACCCAGTTAATATTCCGTCAAATTTTGAGCGATGAAGATTACCAATATTTCAGAAAAAAAAAAAAAAAGTATTTATAGATTCTCTAATTTTGATTTCCACTGTATATATTATATATTATAAATGTCAAAAAAATTGATTCATATGCTGTCATTATATTTTAAAGTTAATGAACTACGGACCTTATAAGCATCTTTGTATGTTTGTTAATGACTATTACATATGTTGCTTTATGGTGTGCCTCCTGTCTCCTGTTTTTTTAATTTATCAAGTATATATTATCTTTCTGAATTCTGTCTAATTCTTAATTCAATTCCAAAATCGAAATCCCCTTAAACATTCCCAATTCTATAATGTTTCAGTGTTCATAAATACTAATAACTATTCAAACTTTTTTAAAATATTATCACTTTAGTTTATGGTGCCTCCTGTCAGGTTAACTAAAAATATACATTTTTAAAAATTGTCAAACTGAGAGGAGCACCGTAAACAAAAATAATATTTCAAATTTGTTTCATTAGTCTTTAACACTTATTAACATTTTAAAATTCTTACAGGGATTTTTATTTTGAAACTGATTTGAGGAAATATAAACTTGATACATAAGCAAAAAAAGTTTTTTTTAACTATATATTATTTTTTTTTTAATCTTTTTCTTTAAAAATTCCCAGTTCCCCCCAAAAATGTCTCATTATTCAAAAATGTTTAGTACCTTTTGTAGTTCCCTGCGGTTTTCCTGCTGGATGTGTTTATTTCTCTCCTTCAGATTTTTTTCTGACAAATGCCCGATGCCTTTCTTCTGCAGAGCCTGAGAATCACACAAACACATACAGTAGTTGAAGTTTATTTCTGTTAACACAAGTCCCAATCAGACTTTCAGTGAAACATCAATGCAATATCAACACATATTTGACCTCTGCTATCCATAACATCTCTCTCACCTTCTGCCATTTGAAGGTGCCGAGCAGGTTGTTATCTCCAAACGGGTTGTCGGCGTTGGTGTAGCCCATGTACTCTTCACTCCAGCCCATCTTCTCCCTCTTCTTCCTCTCTTTGGCCTCTTTCTTGGCCAGACGTCTGGCTCTCTTCTCCTCTGGGGTCTCCAGCGCCTTCATCATCTCCCTCTGCTTCTTCTTGTCTTCTTTGGAGGAGGAGGATCCCTGTGTCGTCTTGCCTCCCTGACCCTGATCAGAGTCAGCAGAGGAGCTCGAGGAACTCGAGGATCTGGATTCAGAGCGTCTACGTCTGTCTCGATCCCTCTCTCTGCTCTTTCTCCTCCTCCCCTCTCGGTCTTTCTCTCGGCTGGAGCTCCTGCTCTGTCGTCTCCCCTGCTCTCTCTCGCTGCTCCTGCCATCTCTGGCTCTGCTTCGCTCCACGCTGGACTCTGAGCTGGAACGTGAGGAGCTTCTACTGCTCCTCCTGCTGCTCTTTTCATCCTTGTGTTTCCTCTTCGTCTCATGTTTCTTCTGATTATTGTGACTATCACCTGAAGAGCTTAAACAAAGAAATGAAAAAATGTTATTCTCACAGTCAGCAGTTTTCAATCTTTTAGATGCCACAGATCCCAAAATATAATCATCCTTATGCAAATGACCTCCATCCGAAAATTTAAAAGGCATCTATATAGTTTCTTATATGAAGGCTCAATTTACACTTTGAAAAAACTATTATAATTATGTCTAAAATATAATTTGAAAAAAAATTTTCCCGTTATAATTAACTACTATATTAATAAATGAACTATTTAGTGTTTCTTAAATTATAATAGGTGTATTCACATTAATAAGTGTATTAGGGTTTAACAAAAGTTAATTAACATGAAGAAATGAGCCATCAACTATTAATAATTCTTACTTTTTTTATTGTATTTTTTGTTTCTTATGAACCTTTTTAATATAACTTTTTTTCTGTAAAGCACTTGATTTACCACTGTGTATGAAATGTGCCTCATAAATAAACTTGCACTGTGTTGCCTATTAAATTTATTTATTTTTTTACTATATCAATCAATTATAGTTATTGTACTCAAATCAGTCAAATACAGTGCGAACAGAACAAGGCAAATATAAAGCATTGTACAGTTCAGATTATGTGAAACAAATAAGTGTAACTGTTTGCTATTATAATATATTATATATTATGTTAACAACATGTTTATGTTAAAAACAACAAAAATATAAAGTGATCATATATTTAAACATAAAATGAAATAAAAATGACTATATAATATTTGGGCAATTATGTTAATATAAAAAGCTATTTGTTATTTCTTGTTACTATAGCACTGCACTGTTAAATGTATTGTTTATTTTAATGTAACTTGTATTTATTTATTTTGAATATTCTAAATCAGGGGTGCCCAAACTCGGTCCTGGAGGGCCGGTGTCCTGCAGAGTTTAGCTCCAACTTGCCTCAACACACCTGACTGGAAGTTTCTATGCCTAGTAAGAGCTTGATTAGCTGCTTCAGGTGTGTTTAATTAGGGTTGGAGCTCCACTTTGCAGGCCACCGGCCCTCCAGGACCGAGTTTGGACAGCCCTGTTCTAAATATTCAAATATTTATTTCTATCTTATTGATTCAGTCGTTCATACATACATACTTTTTTTTCACAGTTTTTCTCTAAACTTTCCCACGGACGTACTCCTACTATATAAACTAAAATTCCTACAGGATTGTTTGATTTTTAGTTTATGATGGTTTTAAGTACCTGTCTCCGTCTTTCGATCTTCGGTGTGATCGTGCTCTTCTGTCTCTGTGGTCGCGGTCAGAGTCGCTGGAGTGGCCGGACTCTCTCCCTCGGTGTCGGCTCGGGTCTGCGGATCCTCCGCTCTCAGACCGCGCTCGTCTGCGAGGACCTTTCCCGGGAGAGCGGG